ATGATGTGTCTTGGAATGTAAATGGCAGAAAGACGTGCTGGTTGTTCCAGTCCATGCCAAAAATCAAGGGTGTGAGTGGAAATCTCTAATATCATCTAATAATTCTGAGTCCTTAGATATCTTCAGGAATGTCAGAGAATTGATGTCATTTGTGAGGCTGTCCATGACTGAGCAGATGGTTGTGGCTGTGCAGTGTCAGGGCCAACTTTCTCAAATGGCTGCTCACATTTCCTGGAGTCATGACACAAAAGCTGAGCGTCCAAGTTGTGACAACTTTTAAAATAATTGCTCTCAAGCTCCTCTGACAGTCTCTGCTTTACCGATCTCTGAAGGTGCAAATACACCCAAATCAGAGACAGGATCTGAGCTTTCTGCCATGTTCATGATGAACTATGAACAGCCCTGTCTTCTGTGAGGGCAAGACATGTAAAATATCAGCTGAAGGAACTGTATTTTCATAGATGAGRGGGACCATTGTTTATCTTTGGSTTTCTCTAATTAAGAATGCCTGCTRYGCTTTCCTTAGAAAAGACTAMTTTCCTTTATTCAATTCTTGCACGAAATGTTTAAAATCAAAGGCCAAATTCTTTATTATTTGTCCATGTGCAGGGCAGAGGCAGGACCATATCTGCATATCTTTTGGCTGTGGATATTTGGTTTGGATGGAAGGGATGTCCTTACTTGCATGTCTCTAAACACTTTTCACTGTTTTTCCACCACAGTCAAACCCTTTTAAAACACAGTATTATTCGATGCACAGCTCTTGCTGCTAAAGTAAACAACTGATTTTTCTGCTTTGCCATCAGATTCCAGGGAAGTACACACTTCCAGGGAGATGTCTAACAAAGCTGTGTCCAGAAGGATTCTTGTCATTGCAATGTCCTACTTTTAGTCTAGACAGATGTAGCAACTGAGTGGRTCTTCCTATGGCTGGGAGGAGACCTTGTCCCTGAACCACCCCTGTTCCCACAGCTGGACTGTCTGAATTCACATCCTGTCTTGCCACCAGCTCTTCATGAAAACCCATCTTTYCAATGTGCCCTAAGATTGAGTTCTCAGTATTTGTAGTAAAGATGGTCAGACATGGGCCTTAAGAAATATCTAAACTTGGAGTGAAAACTGTACAGAGACTTTGGTTTGGAAAGGCAGGATTCCTTCTCCCATTTGTCTTTGCTTATTGGTGAAAAGAGCTGATGCCTCTAACGAGAACTTGAGTTGCTTGATCTGTGATGGGAATGTGATAATTGCCAACTGCTTACCCAAACTGCATCTCATAACTTCAGCTGGGGCAGTGGGGAGGAGTTGGATGGGACTTGTTGTGCTGCATCCCTAACTCTCAAAGGAAAAGGGATGTGATGTCCTCACATGGGAAAGTACCAAGTGCTGATTGATGAGGTATGGCCTTGTGCACATTTACAGGAGGCTGCCAAACATCTTGGGGCCTCATTACAATGCAGGCAAACAAAATATTTTGTTTGGATTTTTACAGCACTGTGTAACGACATTAAACATTAACCATTACAGGTGCTCTTTTTTGCAGGCACAAATGTCCATTTGTGAGAATATGTAATGGAACAAGATTTCTTTCCTACCCCCGCCCCCCCACCTCCCCTTGCTGGCACATTTGTGGAAAGTTATCAATTAATATTCGATGTGATTTGTCCTGTCCTACAGCTGTTAAAGAAAGCAACAGCTTATGGGTTCAACTCAAGGGAAAAATCATTAGAAGGGAGAACTCAAGGTATGCAAAGTTTACATGACCTAGTTTTGAAGCCCATCCTCCGGGCAGTCACGGAAATCTCTGGATGTTAACATGCTGAAATCATAATTGCAGTTCAGAGCCCTTGCATTCCTGTCCCACTACCAGATGGGATMTGAAGAGCCTTGTTAAGTTTGGATCTTACAACGCCCCCAGACTCTGAGGAACTCAAAGCTGACCTTAGTGCTCCTAGGATTGTTTATTTAGAGGGCTGAACTAAGAGTGTTACATGTGGGCCTTTTTATAATCCTTCAAGCTGTAAACCATCATCTGGGAGACTGAGTTGGAGGACAGTGAACMCCTCAGAGCAGCTCTGCARCAGARTAAAGGCTTCAGAAATTGAAGCAAMCCTATTTCTGTGCAGTTGTTCAGGGATGGCAAAATGTCTGGGCCTTGCAGGCCCCCAGATTCTGGAGCCACGTGAGATGGAATCCCTGCCCTGGCCTAACCAGGGTAAGACATGGGGTGTCTCTGACCCACACCTGGTGGGGAGTCAGTGGTGGCTTTGCCATGATTTGTGTTACCTCACTCAGCTGTTTCCTACAGCTGCTTCATCCCAAAACCTCCTGCACCATGGGCTGCAAATGCAACGTGAGTTGGAGCTGGAGTTAACACTCACAGTTCCTGGAGATGATCCCTGGCATGTGGACTCTTCATGAATGGGAACTTGTTCATACATCTCTCAACATCAAGGAGTGAGGGAAAAGGGAAACCAAGACAATAAACGTGAATTTTGACCAAGGATGTGCTAAATTGGATCCTTCTGCCCTCTGAGGTGTGGGGCACCTCTGTAGCTGGGCTGAGGTAGGGACASGYTGCCAACCATATGAGACCACCAAARCTTCCCTGAATTAGCTCAGCTTGTTCAGGTCGCTTTGCCCCTGAATTGAGCTGTGCAGCTTCAGTGAAAGCAGTGTTTGGAAAGCAYCTGTCCTACAGTGGCTTCGTTCCGTGACCACCATGGAAATTGTAGCTTCAGTGAGGTTTTCAAAGGGTGGAATTAACAGTGTGGAGGATAATCTTTGAGGGGAGAAGTTTCCCATGGGGAAATTCAAAGATCCCCTAGACAGACCTACCACACAACCCTGATAGCCTTTTGATTGGGTATTTTGCTTTTTGGTTTGAGAATATGAAGGTCTCACCCAGGCTSTCGTGCAGCTCTCTCCTGGTGTCACAAAAGTTTATGCTCAGCAAGGCACTGCTGCTCTCCTCAGCATTAATAGATYCCAACTGTGGGCTCAAGCAATGTTTATGGAATTAGAGTTCCCCAGAGAGTACTTACTGGATGGATGACAAGACTAGTGGAAATCAAGACACTTTTCTGCTTCACTCCTCTGTAGTGAGTGAATAAATGGGGGAGGATGTAGTAAAATGTGTTACACAGAGACTTACRCGAGAATTACTCACAAATGAAATGAAATGAAATGCTGACCTCTGACTCTGTAGCTTGGCACAGCTCCTCTTGTAGAGGAGACCTTTCCAGGAAAACCTTTTAGCCCTAAAGCTTCATGCCCCCCTCCCTTTTCCCAGCAGAGGATTTAGAAAGTACAAGAGATGCAASAAAACATGGGAACCCAAGGCAGCTTTCATTCCCATCCTCACATGTCATTGCAGACTTTCTTGTAAAAAAAAAAATCCATCCTCATCTTAAACAAACACACAAAAATAAAATCAATCTGTAAAAGAATATGGATTTTGTTGTAGGAGACAGTCAAAGCTCTGATAGATTCTACTCTATGGGTCCTGTCACTATTGGACTTTAGATTCATACAGGGTCAGGCTTTGCTTTCAAGAATYTCTAAGAAACATAAGTTCAATACTTAGGAAACTGAGCTGTCAGGAAAACTTAGCTTGCAGCCTGAGTCTTCAGAAGCTTCCCTGTGGGTGATTGACTGAGGAGTGTGTGGGAGTGAATTAACCATGAAATGTTCCCTGCTGGATATAGGGTAGAGCTGGAAAAGTAGTGACATTCCTGTCACCTTTTCRTCTCACCTCCTGGGTTTCTCAAATGCTTCTGGGCATTTATTTTTTCCCCTCCTCAYTGCTATTCCTATTTAAAGAAAATGTCATCCTCTGGATAGTAAACTGCATTTGGGTGAGAGGAACAACCATGTTGAAGCTGGTCTACCTCAATGAGGGAAATATATGGAGTTCTGTATGCTCTTCCCTTTACTGATGCCAAAATAAATCAGTTCGCTTTGGGGAAGCGATGGGAAYGATCTGCTTGGCTCTAGCTCTGATTTCTGTGGTGACAGCAATCACTGGCCTGGCAAGGCTTCTGATAAAGGGGCTGAAAACAAGTTCATTTTTACAAAAAAACTTCTGGATCAGAAATTAATCACATGCCAGCGTGGTGCTCAGATGTTAGAAAAGAAGCCAGAATTGGTGATTATACTTGAATGCACTTGAGAAATATGTTTGGGCTCTACAACTTATTAACTATATTCATAAACTGATGGGAGGGGAAAAAAATCAAGCAAACAACACTGTCCTTAATCTCATTTAGCAGTCTTTTCAGCAGCTTTGGAAGAAAATTGTACGTGGAATAAAATATGGAAAACTGCATGATAACATAGCCACAAGGTGGTGTGAAAGAAAAATGCATGCAAAACTAAGTTGTAGAAATAACTTCAAATATTAGAATAATCTAGATTATAACCCATTGTAGTTATCTAGATGAATAATTTGCCTGTTTTCTCCATCCTTCCTAATCTTTAATTAAGTTGCGTTCAACTACACCAAGCCAAAGCTGAATTACACCACTCACCGGTGTCCTCTTTTTTTTATAGAACAGAAGTGAATTTGGAGTGAAACTTTGGGTGTGGGGGAGAGGTAATTAGTAACTCTCCTTCAGCACGTGGAATTCATGCCCATGCAAGGCTACACTGAGACAGTGGCACTTCTCCAGCCCCTGTTGACACAGATATCTCWGCACACACCTCGCTGCGGGGTTAGGATGTGCCTTGAGGTGTTGAGGTGTGCTGTTTTAAAAACAATGAGCAAATATGAATTGAAATCAATACTGGAAGTGTCTGAGGCTTGGCTGCCTTGAGAAATCTGACTGCAGGTACATTCACAGTGTGCACACACCCTCCATGACCCTAAMAAGTGTCAGTGAGGTACTTTCCTGCTACCATCCCTCAGATATATGCACAAGCACTGAATGAGAACACTCAGTGGAGTATCTCATTGCTCACAGGACAGTTTATGCATTTTCCTCTCCTTCCCTTGTTCCTCTCACCTCTTGAACYAGAGCTCAGTCATTGACATGTGCATGCAGTGTCCTGTTGCCTGGACTGTCCCCCTCGGTGGCTGTTTAGGGATGCTCAGCTTCCCCAGGAGGCTTCTACAGGCTTCTTCTACAGGTTCCTTGTCCTGAGTGGGAGGGAAGGTTGGGACACAGAAGAGGAATGTGAGAGAGGTGTGGAAGACAGAAACCAGCTCAGCTTTTTCAAAGGATTCTTAAGTGCTCATCATAAAAGCATAGAATGGGGTGGAAGCAACCCTGAAAGTTTATCTTGTCCAAACTCCATCTTCCACTAGACTGGGCTGCTCAGAGCCACAGCCAGCCTAGACTGGATGCTTCCAAGGATGGGACATCCCACAACTTCTCTGGGCAGCCCRGTCCAGTGCCTCCCCACTATGACAGTAAAGAATTTTTTCCTTATGTGCAACCTACATCTACCCATTTTCCGTTTAAAACCCTTGTTCTTTGTCCTGTCACTGCAGGCCCTGACAAAAAAATCTCTTTCTTACAAGCCTGAAAGGCCTCACTGAGGTCTCCATGGAGCCTTCTCCAGACTGAATAACCTCAACTCTCTCAGCCTGTGTTCTGAGGAGAGGGGTTCCAGTGCTGACTATTTCTGTGGACTTCTGGAAGAAGTTTTACATTAGCAGTAAAGTGTGGAAGCCATTTACAATGATAAGGTGGGAAAATCCAACAAGTCTAAAGCTTTAAGAGCTGGTTGCACTTGTGTGTTTGATTTGGTGATGGTTTGATTTGGCTTGGTTTTGGTTTTTAAATAATATATAAGTTTTTTTTTTGTTTTGTTTTGTAGGGTGAAATGTTCTTCTCCCACCCATGCTTCACCCCCCAACCCCTGAGTGGCTTCTCTGGCAGACAAAAGGTCCACAACTAGTGACTGTTCTACAGTCAGACAAATCAGACTCCTGAATGTAGTGTATACCCATGAAATCTTTTTTTTAGGACTTTCCCTACTGAGGAAAGTGTATCAGAGACTTTTTGTAATGCTCATCTTAGTAAATATTTCAATAACCTGGTGTGTATTACAAGAAGAGCCCTTGGAGTTGAAAATTTCTTATCACCTCCTTGCCCTTTCCAGAAATAGATAAACAATATCTCTAGAATGAARAATCCTGATTTCCACATTTTCACTACTCACACTTGTGTTACCAAGTTAAACACAAAATAATGGCAACCTTTTTGATTTAATGAGAACTGAAATCTGTGGCTGTGCCATTTAACTTCTTCCTCAGGATTCAGATTTAGTCAACTGGTGAAACACTTCTGTTTAGCTTTCAAAAAGGCAAAATTGTCTGGCATGAGCTGCCTCTAGGGGAGTCTGAGTTCCAGGTTCACATGGAGGAGGTATGAGAAATTGGATTTTGTAGCATCTGTTGCTCTGTACTTTTCCCACGTGTCTCTCTCATACCTTCCTCTGTCCCTGCATTAATTTGGTGGGTACAGTCCCCTCTCAAAGAAGCAACAAGTGATCAAGAAGAAAATTAGATTTTAAAATTGGAAAGTATTTTAAATGTCCTGCGTTTTAAGTGCCCTGCCATAGTGGTATGTACATCTATGGCTGTGCAGTTTTTGTGGGATTTAATTTTTTTTTWAAGTTCATCTAATATAAATCTTCTATCAAAACATGAAGGCACCAAGTTTTTCTGAAGTCTATTTGTGCAACAGCATTTTGTTCTCTATTTTTTTCTCCAAAGTCCACCACCACTGGTAACAAACTGCAGTGACTCACAGCTTGGGAAAACCCTCCAGTGCCCTTGTTTTCCCTTTTGTCTTGTCACTGTTACACTTGACTGCTTCCCACCTGCAGCCTGCACCTGGGGTCCCATGATTTTGTGTGTGTGCTGCTCAGCACCCTGGCACCCCTTTGCTCCCCTTKTCAGCTCTGCCAGTTTGTGAGCAGTGACCATTCAGAATTGGAAAAAATACACAGAGCTTCCTTTTTGGTGTGATGGGGATGCTGAATGCCTTGAGTCTTTTCTCTGCTCAGGGGACATTTGGAGGCAGCAAGGGTGATTTGATTTTCAGCCCAATGTTCATTCTCTGAACTCCACTAAACTGAAACTCCCTGTTCAGTCACTTCTGTCAGTGTGTCACTTAAAAGATCAGAGTAGAAATAAAGGCAAAAATGGCACTCAGTGAGAAAACTAATTGTAAATGCAGTCAAATTAGTGTAAAATTAGTTGTTTTAGTGGCAGGCTCAGCCTCACTTTCCATTTTGCAGTCTCAGCAYGCTCCAGCTGGGAGCCAGCACAGGGGAGTGGAGTGACACAGCTGGGAACCCCCTCGATCTGTGGCTTTCCCTCCCTGGCACACCGTCACTTATGGCAAAGAAAAAAGAAACAAACCCCAAGCCAGATCCAGATTTGTTTCTTTTTCATTCTTTCCCTGTGGCTACATCAACTGAAGCAAGCGTAGAAGACCTTGGCCAAAACCCACAGCCCAAATCCTGCAGTTTTAGCTATTGTACGAACGAGACAGAAAACTTGATCTTTTGCTTACCTCTGTGCTGAGATCCAAACGTGCTRCTGCAAGGAGCTTTTGCCATGAATGAGGAAGTGCTGGAGTGGGGAGGATGTGAGCAGTGACTCAGAAATTGAGGGGCTGTTTCTCCAGCCAGGCTCCTTTTTACAGAGGAGTAAAAAGACTTGCTGTTGGCTCTTGCTGTASCATGCTCAGTTGACGTAAGAGCTTGCAAGCTACGACTTCACCAACAGTAAAAGCTCAGGAATATTCATCTTTGATTTTTTTTCCCARAATTTAGCTATTTATGATCATGCAGCATTCAGGTATTGCAGTTCTTTCTGKGAGGATTGCCTACCTTTTATCCTATAAAACACTTCTCACTGTTAAGCATTTTGTTGCATGAACATGGTGCTTGAAAATGCTCAGAACAAAGATTTTGCCAATGTCTCTGAAACAACTCCTGTCTCTCAGCTTAAGCAGGCACTCGAGACTTTGCTTAGTTCTTTCTATTAAGGAAATAATTGAAAAACTCTTACCTTACAATTAATCTTGACTGCTGCTCATGTATTTGGTTTCCTGTACAGCTGAGCACAGAGGTTTCCACTTGTAGTTTCTAARCATGCCTTTCCAAACTCTGCAGTGCCAAAAAAAGCTGTTTCTTCTATTTGCTCTGCAGTCAAGCACTGCTTTTCCCCTGGCTCTCTGCTTTTGAKGTGCAGGTACTGAGCAATGTTTGCSCCTTACATTTTCAGCCAGCCGTGGTAGAATTTCTCCTGGAGAGCTCTTGCATCTCTTCCTATTTCTCCTGGAGAGCTCTTGCATCTCCCTGAGCTGTGAACTTGGCTGTGACTCTGCTGTGGCATTTCATAAAGGAWTTTAAGTTTTTCTTTCTRYGGGYATTTGCTGGCAGGAGCGTTGCTTCSCTGGGGTGGGTTTTTTTGCCCATAGTTGYGTAACTGCACAATTCAGCAATTGTAGAAATATATATTAGTTGGATTCTGTTTAATTCTCTTACTTAAACTACTACTAAGTTTCTGGGTAGTCTCTCTTGCATTGAATTGAATCCTTTTGGCATCTCCCTTTGTTTACTTTATAGTTGTATACACACKCTGTTTAATGAACTGTTAGTGTTGAAATTTACATTATACAGACATGCGATAAAAGGCATAACCATWGGTTTGAATTACTATTAAAATGTATTAAATAATACTTTTTCTTAAAAATAAATGATAATACTACAACAGTTCTCATTCATCTCAGCTCCTGGTCTGCTTGGATTAAGTAGAGAGCTTTGCTATTTCATCATGTGGGATGAATTTAAATATTAATATGTAACACTCCTACAAAAAATATTTAAACTCTGAAATAACTCTATTTTTTTTTTTTGTATTATGCTAGAAGCTAAATGATTGAGTAAAGTCTAGAAAATCATGTTTTATTATTCTAGAAAACAAACAAAGCCACCCACACTCTACTTAATGGTTTCAAAAGTAGCACTTGATAAATCAGTCAGCTTTGTGGTAGTGTTTCAGCAATATGTAGTTTCTCACTCAAACAGGGCTGTAATGGAGTTGCTCATTGTCTCCTGTGGCAGTGATAATCCAGAGTATTCCCTGAGGTGCTTCACTTTTGGAAAGCGTTGAATGCCTGATGCAACTCACGTTTAGACAAGTGGAAGACAGAGCAGAGGAATGAACTTGTGAGTTTGTAGAAGTTCTTTTTTTCTCTAGCACTGAAGCACAAATGTGGAAGGTCACCAAGACTAGAATTCCAGAAGTTCCAAAACCATCTATGGCTGCAATAATGTCAAGAGAAAGTTGTATTGCTGTTTTTTTTCTCTTATACTCTTCTRAGAGCTGCTCTTCTGGAAGATCCTGATCCTACTCTGAGAGCTCCTCTCACAACAGCAGAAATATTGTCCAAGTTACCACAACTGCTGGAATCTGACTCAGAGCTACCATGTCCTGCTCCAAATAAATCACTCCATAAAAGTTTCAGGATGTGACAGTGTATCCTTAATGCTTCATAGGCTATTTCCTTCTTTTACAAGCTTTGAGCAAGGCTACATTTAAACCATCAGCTGAGGTAATTCCCCAGTGTGTCCAGTGATTTGAGAAGCCTTTTCCAGTACATTCCTTTAAAGTCCTAGGTCTTTAAATAGTCCAAGTTTTTCTTGTGTTTTGTCTTCCAGGTGTACTGGCTTGGTAAGTAGGAAAAAATCAGGAGAATGGAAAATCTTCCGTGTTCCAGCTTTGTGCCTAAACACCCTCTGTGTCTTCCATTCTTTTCTCACGTTATTGCTGTCCTCCCATCTTGCAGGAGGAGGTAGCAGATATGGATCACTAATGAATTCTTTCCAAACCTCYCAGTGTACAAAAACACAGGAGCCACAGACACCTGTGGTCATTCAGTGGCCTGGAGTGAAGGCTGTGGCTCTGGCGGGCGTGGCCACACAGTTGTTGCTCCATTTGATTTCCAGGGATAAAGACCAAGGAGTTGGACAGATCTGTGGTGACTGCTCACCAGGATAAACCTCTCCAGTGTGTAAAAGGTTGGTGTGGTTGAGTTTTGGTTTGGAGTTGTTTTTTTGGGGTGATATTTTTTCCAGGCTCATTAATGTCTCCTGTGACAGAARTGGGATGCTGTGRTTGCTCAGTGTTCCACTGTGCTACACTGAGYGCAGTCAAACTTGAAATAAAATGAGGACCTGGCAGCAGTGCAAYACTAGCTTAGAATTGTTTATCTTGACAGAATGAAAAGACTGAAATAAATAWTTTTTTTCTTCCTACCCTTCCTGTTCTTTCAACATTGTCCTATTAAACTTAGCACGGGTTGAGTGACCTGAAGGAGACGGCGGCTGTTATGGCTACACACTTTCAAAGTCCAGTCAGAACTTTTCCCCAGTCCCAGAGTGGCTGAGGTTGGAAGGGACCTCTGGTAGCGATCTGGTTCAGCTCSCCTGCTCAAGCCAGGCCACCCACATGATCTCAAACCATTTCCTCTGCTCTTTCTATTGGGCATTGCTGAAGAGAGCCGGGCTCTGTCCTGTTTGTACCCTCCTTGGAGGTGTTTCCATAGTGGATGAAATCCCACCTGAGCCTTCACTGCCCCAGGCAGGGCAGCCTCAGCTCTCTCAGCCTTTCCTCAACAGAAGATATATTCCTTTCTCTTCATCATCTTTGTGGCCCTTCACTACACCYTCTCCTTGAAATCAATGTATTTATTTTATGCAGAGCCCAGAACTCCAGGATGGCCTTGTCAGTGCTGAGGAGAGGGAAGGGATCCCCTCCCTCAACCTGCAGGCAATATTTTGCCTAATGCAGCTCACAATACCATGAGCCTTCTTTGCCACAAGGATACAAAGCTGACTCATGTTCCACATGGATTCTTTTTCTTTCTCTCTCGAAGACAGGGGTGATGTTTGTTCTCTGCTTCTCTGGCATGGCTCAAAATTGCCACCATCCATCAAAGGTTATCAAGAGTGGCCTTGTAATGGTATCTGCAAGCTCCCTCAGCGCTCACTATTCACCTTGGTGGAATGCACTCACTTGGTGAGTGCAAGACCCTGAACAGATCCAGTTCCAGGTGCATTTTGGATTTCTAATCCAGGTTTCTGCATGCTCAGGCAGTGTTTCTTTGTTCCTTCCATGCTATCCACCCCTGCTCCACCCTCTGCAGGCTTCCTTTTGTGCTTGGCTTTTGCCAGATCTCCCTGTTCATCCATGCAGGCCTCTTGGTATGTTGTTGTTTTTTTTTTTTCTCTTGCTTTCTACACATTGTGATGAACCAAGCACAGAGCAAAACTTTGTTGAGACAAGCTACCAAGCTGACACAAATCCTCAAGCTGACTCATGGCCATTGCCTAATGTCTTGCTGATTTTCAGTCCCTGGGGCTCCTCACTTCACTTTTTGGAAATATTCACATGATCAGTGTCTTTGTCATGCTGCTTTTAGGCTGCACAAAYGTGCTTTCTCCCCTCCATTTGATTTATCCATATTTGCTAAAAGGCTTCCATCTGAAGCAAAACACAGCCTCCTTTTCTGCAGAAYACAACTCCCTTGCTTTGTTACCAAGCACATCTGTTGCTTCAAACACTGCCAATCACATGCTTTCCAAAGACTTTTTTCCAAAGACTATTTCCAGACTGTTTTCATCACCTGTAATAGAATTGGTGGAAGAATGAATGGTTTATGAAGTTTAATTTATTGTATCTGGGATATAAACCTGCATTTAGCTGCATACTGGTGCAGACTGGACAAGGGACCTGTGTATTTTATTTAGAAAGGAAAATATTTTTTTTAGTTGTATATTTCCCTCTGGTTGTGTTTATAGCCAGAAAGGCTTCTAACCCAGAGTACTCCAAAGAAATTAGTATTTTAACTGTTACTCATCACAACTCGTTAACACTGATGATCTTACCTGATATTATTAATAAATGTGAGTTTTTCTCTTTGCCCCACCTCCATTTTGTTATCAGATGAACCAAATAATACAGACAGTCTAGACTAAGCTYTCTTCAGARAGAAAATGTGAACCCCATTTGTCAYCCTGARCAGATGACAGCAATGCTTTTTGGCTCAGGCAGCACAGACCAGCAGTAGCTATAGCTTGTCATGCTCATCTTCTTCTTGTTGCTATACCTTAATCCTTCTCCAGTTCAGGTGGAATCAGAAACACTGTTTACATCAGTTGGTGATTGAGATCTGTGTGCTTTGTTRTTTTGGATTTGGCTGCAGATGAGGCTCTCCAGCCCGTGGGAAGCAATCCTGTTTGTSGCTGGTTTCACTCGTTTCCATGTATTTAGCAAATACCTTCTGTGGTTAGGACTCTTAACCTAGGGTGGGGGAAGATGTAGAGAAAAGAAGAAATAATGAGTTTTTCTGCTGGTTTTTGAACCACTTGAGCACCACTTGAGGACGTGGAAGWCCTTTCATGGTGCAATCATAGTAGCAGAAATTGAAGCAGCATGTTCATTTGCAAAGAAAGAGGCAGCAGCCAGCAGCGTTGCTGTCCAAGAGATGTCCTCAGTCCCTGGCAAGAAATATCCATCTATAACCAAGGCCTAATGACCTGAACATGCCAGCAGAAATGGGAAAAAAAATCCTCTTGACTGTGAGAAAGAAATGAGTGAGAAGCTGATTTTTTTCTGCTTCTGCAGGTCTGATCCCTTAAATGATAAAGCTTTCGGGCTGATCATTTTGCTGTTTATTTCTCTCTGCCGTCAATTCCCTCCTTTTTTTTTTCCGAGTATCCTGCAGTGGGTGTCAGGATCTCAGGCAYTCAGGAGGGAGAATTTGCAATTTTYCTGCAAAGGTGTTCATTACTGTATTTGCCATGAGGCTTCTGGGCTTTCCTGGGGAAGAGTAGCAAGCTCTGGGAGGTGTTGCAGGCATAATTTATCTGTGTATCTTTGCTTTCCTCACAGCATAAATGAGACACAGAATAGATTATTTCAGMTGGGAGGGACCTGCTTTAATCAGGCAATTTAAAAAATCAGGGAGAGGGCTCTGCTTTGCTTGGAAATGCATGGGGAGCACACCCACTTTCTGAAAGGTATTTAATATTCCAACCAGCTTATTTGCAATGGTAATAGCATTTGGGGGTGTAACAGGGTTCCTCTCTGGGCTGTGAACTGCATAAACAAGCCCCGAGCAGAGGTACCTGGGGGAGGTTCAGCAAGGTCCCAGCAATGCCATCTGCAGCCCTTCAGGGATAAAACTGCTCAGGATAATGTTAATTACAAGAGCAGCTCTTCCATTTAGGCATGGCAGGGGTGCCATGGAATCCAAGGGSAAAACCACCCCACAGCCTGGTTTATACATCACCAAGTGTGCTCTGTGGTACCCTGTGTGAGTTTTGACAATGCATTCTAATCCTTAA